GACCCAGGGAATTCCCTGGTGGTCTAGTGGTTAGGACTCCACGCTTTCACTGCCAAGGGCCTGGACTCGATCCCTGGTCAAGGAACTAAGATCCCACAAGCAGTGTGGTGCGGCTGGGGAAAAAAAAGACCCAAGTGCCTTCCAGAGACCTATAGCCATTCTACACTCTGTGGCCTCTGCCTGCCTATCCAACCACACCTGTCACCAGTCTCTCTGCTCTGGCCACATGGTCTCCATTCAGCCCTTTGTACTCAATAGGTTCCTTCGACCACAAGGCCTTTGCACACGTGATTTCCTCTGCCTAGAACGCCCACTCCTCTTCCACCTTGTCATTTTTCTTTCCCTCCTTCAGGAGGTCTCCCTCAAGCATCCCAGCTCCAGGAAGCTGACCGTGTACCTCCCCTGTTGCATTCATGCATGGCCCACATGCCTCCCCAATGGAGATGGATCCACCTGCTTGTGTAACAGAGTCTGTTTCCTCCCCCACTCCCCATTAGGGGACTGGGTAGGTGGGTTTCTGCTCATGCCATATCCTCCGTATTCTTCATGCCTGGAAGACCACAGGTTCCCTCCCACTAAACATACCTGGAGGGTGGAATGAATCCCTCGAGCAAATATCTCCTCTTGGGGGACTCATGTACCCCAGAGGCTCATGTACTCTACTGCCACCTCCCCCTACCCTGTCCCCAGGGATTTATGTTCTGAGGAATGCCTATTTTTAAAATCAGGGAAGTCTTTAAATAAGCGTAGCAGCTTTTCCTTCTCTAGGGTGGGGAGGAAGTTTGAGGTTTCACGAAAATAACCACCGTGACGGCTGACTAGTTTGGGCAGGGGGTGGTGCTGCTGGTAGACTGAGAAGCCTGACTGGTGGCCCAGGTGCCCCAGAGACGTATTCTCCAACTTTTCTCTCCATTTCCTGTAGGGTCAGAATCCCTCATGACTTGATGGAAGAGTCTGTTGACCTGGCAAGTTGATCAGGAGGCTGGGTGGAGACGATGTGGGAAATAATATTTAAGGTAGTAGAAACTGTAGCGATTGTAACTATCCCCAGAGCACCTGCCATTTTCTGAGCTCTGTGCAAAAGCCCTTTGTAACATACAGCAACAACTCGACAAGGTGAGGACTGAATTCTCTTCATTTACAGGTGAGGAAACTGAGAACAGTGAGGCCAAGCAACTTGCCCCAGCTCACACAGCCAGTGAGAAGCAGAGCTCAGACTCTGACCCAGGCTGACTGGCCCAGAGCCCTCTCCCTCCTGCACGACCTCTCTGAATGCCGCCCTGGACCCAGCTCACAGCTGGTGAAGGCCAATGCTGGGCGGGGAGTTCAGCCCAGTGTTACCCAATAAGAAACACATTTTATATCCTGCCACTTAGTACACATTGACATATATACATTCTATAACCAACACTAAAGTTAACATGTGACAGACTTATGTTTTCCACTTTATTCTATTTCTTAAAAGGCTGATGACAGCCTATTAATGGATTTCAGGAATCACTAATGGGTTGAGTTTGAAAAACATGGGTATGGTGGGATGTACTCTGCCTATTTCTCTGGGGGAGGGAGAGGATGATTGTCAGAGAGGTGGCAGTCTTGCCCAAAGTCTGTGAATCAGCCATGTTAACTGGGAAGCATAAGTCAGGCTGCTATTTGTGTTAACAAAAGCATAGAAAGAAATGAAAGCATAGAAAGAAAAATATAGTTACCCAGCTAGAAATTAGGACCTATCACCAGTACAACTGAGTCATCTGGGCCACCCCATCCCCCAACATCTTAGTGATGCTTCAGCCATGGAAAAGATGGGATAAACAAGAATTCAGGGCTCCCCTCTTTCCTGCCCCACTGTGGCTCGGTCCTTGGAAGGAGGCCAGTGCAACTGCAGTTTAACCAATGGCTCTCAGCTCTGGCTGCATACTGGAACCACCTGGATGCTTTTAAAAAAAAAAACCCAGTGCCTGGGTCACAGGCCCCAAGATTATGATTCAGTTGGTCTGGGGGTGGCCTGGGTGTTGGGATCTCCAATGTACAGCCAAGGTCAAGAACCAGCATCACAAATGAACCTGGTGCCTCCAAACACCTTGTGAGAAGTGTGCCAAAGGGCCACAAGGATTTCTAAGCACACCTGGCAAGCAGGTTCTCCAGATGTAGCTGGTGACATTCAATCATCTGAGCTGAGGACTAGGTCAGCTGATGGGCTGAAAACCCACTTTATCCTCATGATGGCGTCAATAGCTCCTGTGTTTCAAGCGTTTGTTGTAGCCCGGCACCCTGCTAAGTGCTTTCCAGTCACTATCTTGTTTAATCCTCACTGTTCTCATTTTACAAAAGAGGAAAACGGAGGCTCAGGGAGGTGGGAAGGGGCAGGGAGGGCCCTGTTGGGGGCCCCTCTGGGCAGGTCTCCTGCTGGGGGCCCCTCTGGGCAGAGCTGGCTACAGCAAATCAGGTCTGAGCCACGGCTAAAAACCCCACCAGTTTCTTCTACGACAGAGCTGTTTTCCTCTCCAAAATTAGAGCTGGACAATTAAAAATCTCCTAAAAGCAATCCTATTAAAACAGTTTTTTAAAAACATAATTAACTTCACAAGGTAAATTATTAAAAGGAACTTGTTCTCTGAATCAGTAAGAGGCTTATTTGCTACACGTGGCCCTGCTGCAATTTCCCCAGCTCCCCAGCAATGCCGCTGGGGCCACCCCTTCTTTTGGCCTCTGTTTGATGACAGACAGCCTCCCGCCCCCAGGAGTCCCCCGAGGTGTGTCCTTGGCTCTGCATTCCAACACTCTGCTTGCCCTGATGTTTTTGTGTCCTCACCCCCACCCTTGCGACTTGTCCCTGCAGCCAGACCCCCTGACGTACCCGGAATCCCCAGCTTTACCTGCTGTCATTCACCCCAATGAGCAGACCTTTACTCCAGATCTATTTCTTTCAGTATTACTATTGTGAAAACATGAGCAAAAAGAAATAATAACCCCAACACACCAAATTTATCATCTACTTATCCACCCATCTCACTCTAATCTGTCTTTTACAATTATAATCGAAGACTGCAGACAACTTTGTATCTTATTTTCTCCCCACTACCTATATGCATCAGACTTATGTCTTTTTAATGGCCAAGAAATTTACCAAGGAGTCAGTGCTCATTATTGCATTTTCTGTTCATTTTTAGCACCTCTATCACCAATTCTAAGGCCACATTTTCTCACATATTAACATTTCTGAAGTCTGTCTTACAATTGACCAGTGTCAGTGTTGTGTCACATTAGATCACAGTAAATGGCGGCACTTTTTCTTCTTCGTAGCACATAAAATAATGGTGCATCTACAATCAATGGCATCTTACATGCTAAGAAACACATAAATTTGTGTTTCTAAACTGTGCTGTAAATTATGCTCTTTCCTTTTTATGGGTTGTTTCCTTTCCCGCAAGTAAGATGACCAGGTTTGATTATGACAATTTTCATGACTCTTGATACACCCTGTCAAGTTTTTTTCCAGCAGTCGTGTGGCTTGATCCAGCCCCTTGTGAGATGTAGGAGTGAGCTGGTTACACCACAGCATAACCACCATCGAGCGTGCGTTTCCGCTTGTTTTTTTGGTTTGCCTAGTAGGGAGCTATAAATGAAGGAAACTGTTCCATTTGCCTTTCTGTGAGTATTAATGATAACTGGAACTCACGGAGCTCCTGTTATTGGGTGGCAGGCACTAAGCTTCCCATATCTTATCAGGAATTGACACAACTCTACAGAGGGCGATTGTCATCCCGCTGCTGGAAATGCCACCATATTTCATTAATGCAAAGTTGAACATTTTCCCACATTTCCGAAATCAGAATTGGTGGCATGCTGTAAGTGCCATTGGTCACTTCCTCCTCCCACATTGTAAAGAGCTTTAAATCAGAAATACTCTTACAGTTAAAGGGGCCATCAATTTGACGAAATGCAAGATCACCACCATCATCATCATCTTCATCATCATCAACATCCCATGGTCCTCTGACCCTCACACTTGCTTCTCCAACTCTGCCCCATCACTCTGCTGCTACCCTGAGCTTCTGGCACTGCCCTGACAGCTCTACCTGGCCAGGCCCCCAGAAGCTCCAAGTGAACAGCTGAAATGGAAGCCAACACTTCCTCTTCACCCTGCCCCACCCTTCACAACTAATGTCTCCCCAGATCCAACAAGCCTGCACCCCAGATATCAAGGACAGAACTTATTAGTCCTACTCAGGATGGCCACACAGCACAGGAGGCAGAGCATTTGCTTTGGAGTCAGGCTAGGTTGAAATCTCATTTCTGCCACTTCCTGCCTGTGTGATTTTGAGCAGGTAACTTTACTTCTCTCTGCCCAAGTGTCTCTATCTGTAAAATAAGCAGTTGGGAGAAGCTCTTATGGGCTCAGTATTGGCCTAGCATTCTTTTTTTTTTTTTTTTTTTTTTTTTCTTGCGTTATGCGGGCCTCTCACTGTCGTGGCCTCTCCCATTTGCGGAGCACAGGCTCCGGACGCGCAGGCTCAGCGGCCATGGCTCACGGGCCCAACCGCTCCGCGGCATGTGGGATCCTCCCGAAACGGGGCACGAACCCGCGTCTCCTGCATCGGCAGGCGGACTCTCAAGCACTGCGCCACCAGGGAAGCCCTGGCCTAGCATTCTGAGACCACTGTCTCCTCAACTCCTCCCTGTGAGCCTTCAGGAACGGGGGTGGTTAAGTAACTTTTCCCCATTTTCCAGATAAGGAAACTGAGGCTCGGGGAGGTGAAGGGCGTGACCAAATGATACAGGGCTATTAAAATGCAGAGCTGGGTTTTGAATGTTTCCGATTATCAGGCTATCTTGAGGTTCCTTCTATAGCTTTCACCTTGGTGACTTTTAACACTTTGGTATGGTGGAAGCACCCTGAACATGTGTTTTTCCTCTATCTTGTTAGAAACACCAAACAGAATTATCTTCTCAAGGCTGGGAGGTCCCTTAACGCTGCTAGTCTTCCAGAATTAATTTACCTTTTCATCCCAGGTGGCCATTTTCCTGTCGTCTCCAGATCTGGAAAATAAGAAAACATCTGTCCACATCTATCATCCTACTATCATTCGCCGTAGTATGTGTTTTCCAACACTTTCTTACAAATTATTTTTAACTTGCTTAGGTTAACAGTGTCTGAAAATCGTAAATAATAAAGCTCAAAGCATGTGGAGGATGTACATCCTGAGTATATACTCAAAAGAATTGAAAACAGGCACTCAAACAAATACATGTACACGAATATTCATAGCCAAAGATGGAAACAATCCATGTCCATTAACATATGAATGGATAAATAAAAGATGTTATATCCATACAATGGAATGTTATCCAGCCATAAAAAGAAATGGAGTACTTTTGCAATATATACAAATATCGAATCACTATGTTGTACACCTGAAACTACTGTAGGTCAATTATACCTCAATAAAAAATAAAAGAGATATGAAGTGCTGACACATGCTACAACATGAAGGAACCTCTAAAACATTATGCTAAGTGAAAGAAGCCAGACACAAAATGTCACATAGTACTTGGTTCCACTGATGTGTAATATCCAGAATATGCAAATCTGTACAGACAGAAAGCAGACTGGTGGTGGCCAGGAGCTACAGGGAGAGGGGAATGAGGAGTGACTGCCTAATGGGGACAGAGCTTCCTTTTGAGGTGACGAAAGTGTTCTGGAACTAGATAGAGGTGGTAGTTGCACCACATCGGGAATGTATTATATGACAATGAATTGCTCACTTTAAAAGTTAATTTAAAAAAATTTAATTTTATGTTATGTGAATTTCACTCCAATTAAGAACCAGACAGACATATGTTAGTGTTGAGATTGCCCTGGAAAGCAGCAAAGAATCTAAATGTCCACCAACAAGGGAGGGTCTGGTTGAGTCACTTACAGTACATCTGGGAGTGGGAGACTCCAGTGCTGTTACATTTCCATATGTGGATGAGGAAAGATGTAATATAACAGGTGCCCCCCCATCACATTATAGCATAGTGTAGCATAGCATAGCATAGCATAGTACAGTATGAGCCCATCTATGTGAAAAAATGATATATGCATTTTTTTAAAAGTCTGTAAGGATACAGCCAGACTCTTTACAGTGGTTATTGCTGGAGAAAATGGGAGTGATTTGAGGGTGGGGTGGGTATTTTCTTTCTCTTGGCTTCTGGAAGGTCTGAACTTTTACAATGATTATGTGTTACTTCTTAAAACTTATTTTTAACATAGGTGACATATGCAGTAAAAAATTTAAATACAAAAAGATATTATGACAAATAAGTCTTCTTTCTACGCCTGTTCTTCCCAGAAAGCCTCTCCTACCAGTTTCCCACATAGCCTTTGGAGGTATTCTATGTCTTTCCAAGCACAGCCATACTTATTCTTTTTCTTCCCCTTAAACAAACGTGAGCCTTCACACTGCTCTGAACCTTGCTTATTTCCCTTTAGGGTGTGGGAGGCTGAAAGATAGTCCCATCAGTCCTAATCCCCAGAACCTGTGAATAGGTCAATTTACACGGCAAAAGGGACTTTGCAGGTGTGATGAAATTAAGGACTCCAAGATGGGGGGATTATCCAGGTGGGCCCAGTGTCATCAGAAGGGTCTTTACAAGTACAGCAAGAGAATCAGAAGAATAGGAGATATGACTACAGAAGCAGGGATTGGAGTCAGAGTGAGATCTGAAGATGTTATGCTGTCTTGAAGATGGAGGGATGGGGTCATGATCCAAAAAATAAGGGAAGCCTCTAGAAGCAATATAGCCCTGCCAACACCTTGACCTTGGCGCACCAAGACTGATTTTGGGCGTGTGACCCCTAGAACTGTTAGATAATAAACTTATGTTGTTTTAAGCCATCAGATGTGTGGCCATTTGTCACAGCGGCCGTAGGAGACTAACACAGTGTCCCTGAGATCGTTCTATGCCGTGTGCTCTAGAGCAAGCGCACTCTTTGGATGACCACACAGGATTCCCCTGAGGGGGTGTGTGTAGTTCCCATTAGTGACCAACGTTAGCTTCCCAAAGTTCCAGTGAATGGCCTTATATATCATGTGTTATTTTTGTAATTTAAAAAATACTACCATTTTGAAAAAAAATCACGAAGACCTAAAGAAAAAAAGAGTTCTTTTTCTCCCCACAGTACCATGCTTAGGGCACAAGGGACTGTTTCTTGCTGGTTGACTGGCAGAGGAGCTTCTGCAACCAGCAGAGTTCACCTGGCTGTGTTCCTGTTCCAGCCCCTGGGGGCCCTCACCCTGCTCTCACGAGGTGGGCTCAAGTGGAACCACCACCAAAAGTGAAGGTGAAGGGAAAAATTAAGGTGCCCTGGAGATTTCCTTCCTCCATAGGACAGGAAACAGAACTAGCACATGCATAGAAAAACATCCAGGTTCACTAATTCAAGCAACGGAAAATTTAAACCCGCCATAACCTCCCCATTAAACTAGACAAAACAAAAGTGAAAAAACCCAATGCTTGTGGGGCTGTAGGAAAACTTGCACACATTGCTGGGAATAATTTTTCTAAACAGTCACCTGCTAATAAGTGGTATATGCCTTCAGGATGATCATACCCTTGACTTGAACACATCAGTTTGGAAACTGTAACTCAAAAATCATTTGAAAGCAAAAAAAAAAAGTGCAATCTGTACCACAGTGTTTAAAGCAAAGTTGGATATTAGGGTTAGAACCTGGAAGCAGCCTATAAGCCCCACCGTAGGGAAAAGCTGAGGAAGGCAGTGTGAGGCATGACAATTCTGAGGTCTATGTAGCAATGTAGAAAGAAGGCTATTAAGCAATGAGAAGTAGAACTGTGATGGTTGCACACACTGCCTGCAATTGTACAAAGTTATCAGAACTTTTACTCTGTGCAAGGGCATGGCACTGGGTTCTGGGGAATCCAAAGTGAAGAGACAAGAAAAAGGTCTGGACCCTGGTAGGCTGACATTTTAGCCAGGAAACACATAAGCAAGGTAACATCACCCAGGGCTAAGCTCCGGAAATAAAAACAGTAATGCAATAAAGGGCAGGCAAGAGTGGCTCCTGCGGCTTGGGGTGGTGAGGTAAGGCTTCTGAGTAGGTGACTTTTATGGTCGTCTCTGAATTGCAAGGAGGTGCATCACAAGAAGATGGCAAGAAAGAGAATTCCTGGGAGAAGGAAGGGCATGTGCACAGACCCTGAGAGAGCTGAGAATTTAGTATGTCCAAGAAAGAAGGAGGAGGCCAGTATTGCTGCAGTGAGCAGGCAGTGGAGTGAGGATGGGGGCATGAGAAGAGTCAGGAATCAATCAGGGCCTGACTGTGCAGAGTTCAGTAGACAGTGCTGAGGATCTGGGGGTCACGGTGGGGATGCAGAGGAGTGACCAGATTCAGAATATGCTGAGGAGTAGCACTTGCTGCTGGCCTAGATGTCCGGGACAAAGAGAGGAGCAGGTTTTGGAGCAAGAATATGCTAGGCTTCCTCCTTCTTGCAAAACTGGTGGTGGGGGAGGGCTTGGGGGCTACAGGGCAGTAATGGAATTGTGCAAGCCTCACCCCAAAGATTTTCAAAACCCACCCCTATCAGCCTTTCCCTCGGAGTCAGAGAGGGAGGAGTTGCAGCCCCCAGCCTTGGGCTTACTCAAGAAACTTCCAGCTGCTGGCGGGGCTGTAGGAAATACTGCCGATCTCAGATAGCTCTGACTTGAGGGTGAAGGACAGAGAAGTGCTTTCAGATGGGTGGGAATGGTGGAGGGGGCATGGCTTAAGTCACGCACTAGGCTGGGCCTTTACACCAACCATCTCATTTAATCCCGGCAACCCTCTGAGGCATGAAGCATGCTTAACCCCGAGGTTATGGATAAGCAAAGGAAACAGACAAGGAAATTGAGGGACGGAGAACTGAAGTCCCATGGCTAAGCCTGCAAGAGCCCCCCTGTGCCCAGCGGGAGTGCTGGTACAGGCCCGGGAGTTCCTGGACAGGGGCTGCACCACCCTCTCCTCTCTGTCCTGGAGTTTAACCTGGCCCCAACCCACTGTTCTTACTCCTTGGCATCCCCTACCCAGGCGAAGGATTTGTTGCTGTGGAGGTTCTTCCTGCAGGGATGAGCACTGGCTCATCTCGGCCTCCTCCCCTATTCCCAGCACTGGTTTCTCCCTGCCGTCTCCCTAGGGGTGCAGGACAGGGCGGGGCAGGCATGATGAGTAAGAGGACTTAGGGGTTCACACCGACCTGGGTGAGTTCTGGCTCTGCCTCTTTTGGCTGTGTGACCCCGGGCGAGTGGCTTGGCCTCTTTGAGTCTTGGTGTCTTCACCTGGAAGAGGGAGACAAGGATGGTACCTACCTCACCTGTTGCTGCTGCTGCTACGAGGCACATGATGAAGTGAAGGCACCTGGCCCATGTAAGCACTCCATACAAAAGTGTAGTTCTTCAACGCTTCCGTTTTCAAGGGGAGATGCGCGTGCTGTCTCCTGTCCTCCTCTCCACTGGATTCTAGAATCCGTGGGCCAGGCAGGGATTCCTGAGTTATCACTGCCTGCCCGCGTTCCCCCAAGCTGGGAAACGCTAGAACCCAGGGCAAACCGGGGCCTCCTGGGGTCCCGCGGGGGTCCCTGGCAGACTCGGGCTGGGAGAGCTCGGAGAAGGGCAGCGCGCCCCGGGCCTGCCCTGGAGCACTTACCCTGCGCCCGGCCCGCCGGCGGCCACCGCAGCAACTGCGAGCTCGGCGCCTGCCCAGCAGAAGCTACTCACCCCTGCAGAGAGAAGGATGCAGTTCACATCGTGCAAACTGCAGGCGCAGGGCTCTTCACATCCCAGAAGGCAAGCCTGGCTGGAGGACAGAAGAGAAAGCAGCTTCTCTCACCCCGGAGCCTTAGCCAAGGTTGTCCTAAGAGGGACCGGCAGCCACTGCCTTCAAAACAGTCCTCCCTCTAAATGGTCCCTCCTTGGGCCTCCCCCCCCCCCCCCCCCCCCCCCCCCCCCCGCCCTCTAACTCAGCCAGCTGCTGGTCTCGGGCTCTGGCCCGCGTCTGTCCCGTTGCCCTCGTTCTTGCCTGTCTGTCGGTCTCCCTGTTGTTCTCTGGCTTCGCCCCACCCGGCCCCCTCCTGCTCCGCAGGCCCGAGCCTGACCTGGGCCTCCTGCAATCCCGCAGATGGACAAAGGTCCCGCCCGTGGGAGCCAATCACGAATCATGAGAATCCTGGCCCAGGCGACCCTAAGGGAAGGGGTGGGAGGAGGGAACCACTTCCTTCCTCCAACGGGACGTATTGGCAGCGGGTCCAACCCGCCTCCCCACCACACACACTCAGGGAAGCAGGGCTGACTCCTGTTCGCTCCCCCTACCCCCTGCCAACTCCTGGTTACTTAAGGGGGGCCCTGAGTGTCCCCTGCACAGTATCTGCAGGCAGGGGTTGGAGGGTGGGCAGAATGCCCTAAAGGGGTGGCCAACCTCGAAGCTGTCAGGACGCCCCTGGGGGGGAGGGTGTAGGTGAGGCTGGAGGTGAAGAGGAGGTGCCCTGCAGCTGGGCTGGTATTGGCACGAGGGAGGAGCCTTCCAGCCTCGAGGCAGAGCACACCCTTGCTCAGGCCGACTAGGGCTCCCCTTCCCCAGCTTTACCGTCACTCCCCTGCAGGCCCTCCTTCACCCAGGCTTCCCCAGCGCTCTGTCCATACCTTATTTCTGGCACTGTTCGCACTGGTCTCAGTTCTTCCGGTAGCTTCCATCTTCCCCAAAATACCACTTGTCCCAAACTTCCAAGGGCAGAAGCCATCCATCTACACACCTCCCTGCTGCTTCTGGTTAGGCTGGCGGGGGGGGGGGGGG